CTTTAACAGCATTTAATTACTGCTTATTTGTGTAGACCCTCCATGCTATTTTGTAGTCTGAGATCACACTTTTCAAATCATCTAAATATGTTTTAGTAAATAGAAGAAAATTTAATTTGCACAGTATCTTTGTAATAACTCTTAAGATTCATTTTTTAAAATCTTTATTGTTGAAAGTATTACACATGTCCCCTTTTTTTCTCCCATTGACCCCTCATAGCCCACCCCATCCCCCGTCTCAGGCCTCTACCACCTTACTGTCTGTGTCCATGGGATATGCATATACCCATACAAGTTCTTTGGTTGATCTCTCCCTCCCTCCCCCTACCTTCCCTCTGAGATTCAACAGTCTGTTCCAGGCTACTGTGTCTCTGGATCTAATTTGTTCAACACTTTAATTTGTTCATTAGATTCAACATATGAGTAAGATGATGTGATACTTGTCTTTCTCTGACTGGCTTATTTCGCTTAGCATAGTATTCTGCAGGTTCCTCCATGCTGTCTCAAAGGGTAAGAGATCCTTATTTTTTTACTGCTGCATAGTAATCCATGGTGTAAATGTACCTTTTTTTTTTTTTTTTTAATCATCACCTGAGGATATTTTTCCATTGATTTTAGAGAGTTGAAAAGAGAGGGAAAGACAGAGAAACATCGATGTGAGAGAGACACATTGATTGGTTGCCTTCTGCATGCACCCTGACTAGGGCCCGGGCGGGGAGGAGCCTGCAACCATGGTACGTGCCCTTGACCGGAATCGAACCTGGTACCCTTCACTCCACAGGCCGATGCTCTATCCACCAAGCCAACCACAGCTTTTTTATCCACTCCTCTACTAATGGGCACTTGGGCTGTTTCCTGATTTTAGGCATTATAAATTGTGCTGCTATGAACATGGGGGTGCATACATTCTTTCTGATTAGTGTTTTGGACTTCTTAGGATATATTCCTAGAAATGGGATCACTGGGTTGAATGGCAGTTCCATATTTAATTTTTTGAGGAAACTCCATTCTGTTTTCCATAGTGGCTGCATCAGTCTGCATTTCCACCAGCAGTGTCGTAGCATTCCCTTTTCTCCATATCCTCTCCAGCACTTGTCATTTGTTGATTTATTGATGATAGCCATTCTGACAGGTGTGAGGTGATACCTTGTCATTTTGATTTGCATCTCTCTGATGATCAGTGACTTTGAGCACTTTTTCATATATTTCTTGGCCATCTGTATGTCCTCTTCTGAGAAGTGTCTATTTAGGTCCTTTGCCCATTTTTTAAATTGGATTGTTTGTCTTCCTTTGTTAAGTTGTATGAGTTCCTTATATATTTTGTATATTAACCCTTAACAGATGAATCATTGCCAAATATGTTCTCCCATACAGTGGTGTGGGTGCCCTTTTTAGTTTGTTGGTGGTTTTTTTTTTTGCTGTGCAGAAGTTTTTTATTTTGATGTAGTCCCATTTGTTTATTTTCTCCTAAGTTTCCTTTGCCCTAGGAGATGTACCCAAAACATGTTGCTATGAAAGATGTCTTGAGATTTTGCTGCCTATGGTTTCTTCTAGAATTTTTATGGCTTCATGACTTACTTTTAAGTCTTTTATCCATTTTGAGTTTATTCTTGTGTATGGTATAAGTTGGTGGTCTAGTTTCATTTTTTGGAATGTACCTGTACCGTTTATTGAAGAGACTGTCTTTACTCCATTGTATGTTCTTGCTTCCTTTGCCAAATATTAATTGAGCATAATGGCTTAGATCGATTTCTGGCATCTCTGTTCCATTGCTCTGTATGCTGTTATTGTGCCGATACCAGGCTGTTTTGATTGCAGTGGCTTTGTAGTATAACTTGATATCTGGTATTGTGATCCCTCTAACTTTGTTCTTTTTCAAGATTGCTGTGTCTATTTGGGGTCTTTTTTGGTTCCATATAAATTTTTGGAGTATGTGTTCTAGATCTGTAAAATGCTGTTGGTAATTTAATAGGGATTGCATTGAATCTATAGATTGCCTTGGGTAGTATGAACATTTTAATGGTGTTAAGTCTACCAATCCATGAACAGGGTATATTCTTCCACTTGTTTATATCTTCCTCTATCTCTTTTTTCAGTGTCATATAGTTTTCTGAGTACAAGTCTTTTGCCTCCTTAGTTAAGTTTATCCCTAGGTATCTTAATTTTTTTGTTGCTATGGTAAATGGGATTGTTTGTTTAGTTTATCTTTCTGATAATTCATTATTGGTATACTAGAGGCCCAGTGCATGAATTCGTGCATGGGCGGGGTCCGGCTAGCCCAGCCCCAATCAGGGCCGCGGGCGATTGGCTGGTGGACCCCACCCCCGATTGGGGTTGGAGTGCCGATTGGGGATGGAGCTGGCCACGGGGAGGGGCTGTGAGCCGTGGGCCGGCCTGCCCCACCCCCAAATGGGGTGGGAGGTGCTGATCAGGGGCCAGTGACCTGGGGGAGGGGCCATGGGTGGTTGGCTGGCCAGCCCTGCCCCTGATTGGGGTGGGGGGTCTGATTTGGCTGGGCTGGCGGGAGGGAGGGGATGCAGGAGGTTGGCTGGCCAGTCCCACCCCTGATTGGGGTGGGGGTGGGGCGATCTGGGGTGGGGCTGGGTGGGGGGGAGGGGCTGCAGGAGGTTGGCTGACCAGCCCCACCCCCTATTGGGGTGGAGGGGTGTGATCAGGGGTAGGCCAGCTGGGGGGAGTGGCTGCCAGCCTATTGTGGTGGGGTAGGCTGATCAGGGGCGGGACTGGCTGGGGGGAAGGGAGGGGGAGTTTGGCCAGCCAGCCAGCTCTTGATGGGGTGGGAGAGTCCCATCAGGGGCAGGCCAGCAGGGGGGAGGGGCCGAGAGGTTGGCTGGCCGGCCCCATCCCCTGATAGGGTGGTTCACTGGCCACAGTGGGCATCATAGCGACCAATCGTTATGGTCGTTATAGCCGTTATGGTCACTGGCTTTTTATATATAGAGATAAAAATACCATTGATTTCTGGGTGTTAATTTTGTATCCTGCTGCATTGCCAAATTCCTTTATTAAATTTTGTAGTTTTTTGGTGGAGTCTTTAGGATTTTCTTTGTACAATATCATGTCATATCTGAATGAGTTTTACTTCCTCCTTTCCAATTTGCATGCTTTTTATTTCTTCTTCTTGTCTGATTGCTGTGGTTAGGACTTCCAGTACTATGTTGAATAAGAGTAGTGAAAGTGGACATCCCTGTCTTGTTCCTATTTTTAGAGGAAATGGTTTTAGTTTTTGCCCATTGAGTACTATGTTGACTGTAGGTTTGTCATACATGACCTTTATTATGTTGAGGTATGCTCCCTCTATTCCCACTTTGCTGAGAGTTTTTATAAAAAATGGATGTTGGATTTTGTTGAATGCTTTTTCTATGTCAATTGATATGATAATGTAATTTTTGTCTTTCAATTTGTTTATGTGATGTGTCACATTTATTGATTTGCAAATATTGTATCAGCTTGCATCCCTGGAATAAATCCCAGTTGGTCGTGGTGTATGATCTTTTTAATATATTGCAGGATCCGATTTGCTAATATTTTGTTGAGGATTTTAGCATCTGTGTTCATCAGGGATATTGGCCTATAATTCTCTTTCTTCGTAGTGTCTTTATTTGGTTTTGGAATTAGGATATTGCTGGCCTCATAAAAAGAGCTTGGAAGTGTTCCTTCCTCTTGGATATTTTAGAATAGTTGGAGGAGGATAGGTGTTAGTTCTTTGAATGTTTCCCTGTGAAGCTGTCTGGACCAGGGCTTTTGTTTGCTCTGAGTTTTTATTTTATTTTATTTTATTTTATTTTATTTTATTACTGCTTCAGTTTCATCAATTGTTATAGGTCTATTTAGGTTTTCTGATTATTCTTATTCAGTTTTGGAAGATTATATTTTTTAGGTTAAGATGTATTTGTTCTAATCTGTAGTCTACTTTATATGATACAATAATTCATAGAGAATTTTTTTATTTTTTTGATCTGAGACTTAATGTTAAATTTTTGTATTTACTGACAAAATATTAGATTGAATTGACAGAAGAAATTTCTGAGGAAGACATTTTTTAGCAGGAATTTAGAGGAAGAGCAGGGTTGGAAGATGGCTGGATTGAGTTGTGGAGTAAATTGATACAAAAAGGTAAGAGGAGTTTTGAGAGTAGAGTGATGACAAAATGGAGGGATAACAGTGGATTCTAAAATGAAGGAATAATTTATATAGGGGATTAATATGAAATTATATTAGTTGATATGTGCAAAAAGATTTCTTTTTAACATAGAGTGTTTTAGATTTAATACTTTATGGTAATAACTTCACAGGATGGGGAGTCAGGCATTGAACAATTAGGTGAAGATTTTTAAAATCTGGTTTTACTCTTTGAACTATGAGAAAGATGCTAATAATTTGAACTTTTAGTGTTCTTACATTTAAAACACCTCATGATGGAAAACATTTTATTCTTTATCTTTTCAAAATGTAAGGAATTCTGCAACTTGGCATATATATGCATTATAATTTGAGACTTGTCTAGTTCCAAACAGTTTAATACTTATCCTATGAGCATGCATTTTGTAGATTTCTTATTTTTTAAAAATTTGATAGACATTTGAATATTGTTCATGTAGATAGGCTTTGTAGGAGATAAATTAGTTAGAATCGTTTCTATCTAATGCATATGTTAAGACATAAGAAAATACACATTGATTAAGAGTCATTATGACAGGTACAGAAAACAAAGGGGTCATTTCTGTATGTATTGTAGAATATATTTAAAATTCAACCACAGTTGAAATGATAAAGGTGGCCATTTTCTTTGCCATGTATTTCTTACTCTGATTCTTTAAGAATTTGACAGATAATAATATAACCATTCCTTAGATTCTTTTCTTATTTATAAAATGTGATATATTTTTAAGGACTATGATTTAGGTATTTTTTTTCCCTCTCAGGAATGCTTGCAACCAAACCATTTTTTTGTTTGTTTGTACTTTTCTTTCTTTTTTCAGAGGTTACGCACAGAAAATAGGCTTTTAAAACAACGCATTGAAACATTAGAAAAAGTAAGTAAATGACTACTTATGTAAGCTTCTGTTAAATACACAGTTTTTTTCCTGTCTATTTTATATAAAGAAATCTAGTTTATATGTCTCCAAAGTTGTGGTATTAACTGCTTAGCTTGCCTGGCTTACTACTTAATTAATTAACTTGTCATTAGTAAAAATTGATCACTACTAGCTCTTAAACTTTAAAGTTTTAAGTAAGATATAGTAATGCTTGTTTTCTTTACATATAATCTCTAAAATGTATGTTCTTTTGAGGTAACTTAATTTAGAATCTACTCTGTATAGTATTTTCAAATATTGCCCTGACTTTCTAGCCATATATTAAATGTGGCAATGACTCATGTAAGGCCTAGCTAGGATTGCTTTAAGTTTAGTCAAAATGACTGACTGATTTCTTATTTGAAAATTCACCATGATTTTCAACACTGGGGAATTGTGCTTAAACTTTTGGTTCTTAAAATTATTTTGATACCACTTGTTACCTATTCCTCTTTGTTTCATGTAAAATAACTGGGCAAATGTGGACATATTGCATTCTTTCTTATATTATGCTTTTGATATAATATCTTTTGTAGTCTTGTTTCTGATGCTATAAGAATGTGTTGAATAATAAAAGTATAGTGTAGGAGTTTTGGTTATTTTAAGAAAAACATCTGAATTTACAAAGTCTTTGATATTTTGGGGGTTTTGTGTTTGTTTTTGACTAAAGGTGAGAGAAAGTAGGTTTAAAAGTACTTTTTTATGATATTGCCAATTATCTTTAAATCTTCCCTGCTAATCTATGGATCAATATTCAAGAAAGCAATAAATAAAAAAATGGATAGTTTGCATTTTTGTCTTTTGTTTGAAAGTATTAATGGTTTTATATTAAATAGTGCTGCACAAGGACCAGGATGCTAATTACATGCCTATTTTTGTGTGTGATAATTGCAGGTTCACTATATTAAGTCAAAAGTAGTTTTCCTGTATTTTCTTCATCTTATTAGAGTTGCTTTGATGACAATTCTACTTTTTTGGTGATTCTGCAAAAAGATTGAGCTTAGTTGTTTTTGTTTAAATTATATACTTTTTTTCAAAAAATACTCAGTTTTATAGTAAAATATATATATCATCTTAGTGGTCTTTTATCCTTGGAGTGAGATATTTTCACAGAGAAAGCATTTTTATTTTATTGAACCTTCACAATGATAAAGGTGCTGTTAGAAAGTGTTAAGCTTGGATTTTGATTCTAAAAGCTAAGTACCTTTTTTATTGACTTAGATGGCCTACGTGTGTCCACTTAGAATTCTATAAATATGTATGTATCAAATTCTGCAACCAAAAAGTTTAATCAGTTATTGCTAGGGTGTGTTACCTTGAGCTCATTAATTTCACTTGTGATGTTTTTCTTGCTTTGCGTCTTTGGAAGTTGGGCTTGCACAAACTGCTGTCACACTTTGTAAGTGGAATTGCTTACTCAAATTCCTTCTCCTTTTCACATAAGTGGTTTGACAATGTGACTAACTCTAAAAATAAAGATTTAAAAGTATGCTTTAAAGGGAAGATATTTGCTTGTTCCAAATAATGAAAAACCTCTTGGAATTTGTGTTTAGTCTCTTTTAGTACATGACTTTCTGCAGCCTATTCTTTAATATATTTTTTTAAGGTTTAAGAATAAAAACACATTCAGTAAAAATAGCTTTAAAATCGTCATGCTTATTTTAATTACATGAAAAGTAGGTGGAATTTGGGTATGCTTTGTTTCTTCTTATTCCTAATTTTATCACCTTTATTTTATTTCTTTCTCTTACATTTCTATCTGAATTTTTCCTTTTGTAGGAAAGTGCTTCCTTGGCAGATAGATTGATACAGGTATAGTTTTATATTACTTTTTTTTTTTTTTAGCATTTTCTCTAACTTCTAAGGAAAGTCCTAAATGTAGAAATTTGTATTTTAATGCATGCAATTTTACATGCATTTCCCGCCCAAAATAATATTTTAGGTGGTACATATGGGTGTAAGCTTATTCTTGATAACAGGGTGTTATCTTGGTTTATTAAAATAAGCACCTTTTTGCACGTTTTAAAGCTAACCTTATTTTAAAGTATTACAAAATGGCAATCAGTGGATTCTGTGAAATTAACTACTTATTTATTGACATTTAGTCCTGCATGTACAATTCAATAATATTGCATGAATTGAATTTTATTGACTGAAACAAGAATTGTTCTTAAGATTGTCAGATGAATTTTTCACTTAGTTCCCCAAAATTTGCTGGAGCAATAATGAGCTGCTGGCTAACAATTGCTTAGGCTGTTCTGTTCTCTGAGGTGATTTAAAAAAACAATGTCAAAGTAAATAACTAAACCTCACAAAGACAGTCTGTCTTGACTCTATCCTAAATTGCTTTATACACACAAAAATTATGTCCTAAGGGACAAGTGACAAGAGCCCAGGAGGCTGAGGAAAACTACCTCGTAAAACGGGAACTGGCCACCATCAAACAGCAGAGTGATGAGGCCAGTGCTAAGCTGGAGCAGGCTGAAAATACCATCAGGAAGCTCCAGCACCAGCCGCAATGGGTAAGGAGTCCAGTAGTACTTTTTCTCACCTTTCTCATTTCCTTTCCTTTAAATCCTTTTTAAAAGCACAGCTTTTGTGCTCTTGTTATAAATAATTTTATTTTTTACTTCAATTAAATTCTGAGTCAGTTTTATGTTCTGTAATAGTGTCTTATTGTGGCCTAAAGTTTCTTCATTCTACCATTTTTTTTTCTGTCTACACAGTTTTGTTAATAATAGGTACTATTTTCTTTATGTTTTCAGTCATAGAAAATAAGTGATGTATGTCAGACCTTTTTTTCAAGTTTTATAAATCTGTTTCATAATAGGTATTTTGCCATGGGTAATTTTAAAATCACAACTTCAGCTAGTTTTTGTTAAAAGTGCAGATGAAATATTATCCAATGTAGAATACATGTAATTATCTCATTTAAAGCTTTGATAATGTGGTGATTTATGTCTTATGAAATACCATAGTCTTACCTTCTTATACCAAGACATTAAGTTATGGGTTAAGGTATATGCTTACATTTTTCTCAAAAGTAGAGAAGTTGTCAAAACGAAAAAGAAAGAACTTATAAAAATAATGTTAACTAATTTAGAGTACTGAACAGCCACTGATAGTACAGCTATCCTCAGGTGTCTTTTGCCACTTAGACATCGTTTTCCATTGGCAAATTCAGACTATAGTGATCTTAATCAATGATATGAGAGCTTAAAAGAAAAGTCAGCTGTTAACCTTTGAAAAGATATTTCTTGTTTCAGTTTTCTGTTTTTAAGTATGAGTTAGATAGTAACAGGGTAGGCAGAAGAAGGTTATCTTAAACCTGGAACTCTTTATGGATTGGGAAGCAAAAAACACAGTTACTTCAAAGTGGACATTACTTTCATTCAGTAAAATGAAGAAATAACATCATCTGGGTATAAAAATCAGAAAACTAAAAAAAATAAGAATAAAAAAGTTGACAATTGAAAAAACCTAACATTAATTAATTATATTAATATTACTAAAGATGGTTAAAAAATGAGAGTGGTAAAGAATACTCAAAAGATAGAACTAAAATATTTTGATCTGTCTTTGAATGAAATGTCAATATAAAAGCGTAAAAATAGAAAAAGCAGAATTGAGGGTAATGTTAGGAATTAAGCTGAACTGAATTATCAGTGCAATATGATTTTGTTATAAGGACAGATGAGTATATATTTACATTTAGCGTAAGTTATAGTCATATACATTAGAATCATGAATTACTAGTTTTTTTGCATTGCTTTTCAAATACTGAGACCTCTGGGTAGATATGTATAAAAAATATAGAATGTTGGTTCATACTGAAAAAGTTAAGTGGGCAAATAAAATTGGCCAGAATAAATCGAAGCTTTTGAAAATTACGTGTAACAAAAATAATCTTTGTGCTTTTAAATAGACCCACAGTATAGGGCTAAGATATAACGAGGAGAAAGCAGATCCCCACTTCAATTTTATTTCTATTTGTTTTCTCACTAAGCAGACATTCTCCTTTGGAATAAATTATAAAACAGACATAATAAAGCAGAGATGCACAAAATAGGTGGAAGTTACAGAGCCTTGGTTAATTTTCCGATTTTATTTTATTTACAATATATGTGAAGTATGTTTCAGAATTGTATAGGATGGAATATTTCAGAAATGCCGCTAATATGTTGGATAGTGAATCGGGATTCCAATATATTTAAACAATGTATTCAGAATAAGAAACTAAAATAAAAGATTATTTCATAGAAATCAACCTGTAACTTTGCCTTTAAGTTTAAAATTCAAGGCTATATCATAGACCTAGAAATTTTGACAGGAAATCAAGACTTAGCCAATAATGTAATATGGCTGCCCTCCCCTCCCCAGCCTCACCCCCTAAATCACAAGTATGGTCTTCCTAGAAGAATAATGATCCAATTCGGTTCTAAGTAGCAGATCATTTGTAGTATTCTATTTAGTTTGAACACCAAAACTCATGTGAAATATTTACAGACTATATTCTGGACAGTATAGGAAAGACTGTGGAAGCCCAGGATATTTTTAGATTACACTAAAGAAGATTTTATAAGAAAACCATAGGTGAGAGTGGTAAAGAATACTCAAAAGATAGAACTAAAATATTTTGATCTGTCTTTGAATGAAATGTCAATATAAAAGCATAAAAATAGAAAAAGCAGAATTGAGGGTAATGTCAGGAATTAAGCTGAACTGAGTTATCAGTGCAATGTGATTTTGTTATAAGGACAGATGAGTATATATTTACAAGTCATTTTCAAGTATTTGAGAGGTAATCTTATGTAAAACTAGAGGCCCGGTGCACAAAATCCGTGCACTTGGGGGGTGGACAGGTCCCTCAGCCTGGCCTGCACCCTCTCGCAGTCCGGGAGCCCTCAGGGATGTCCGACCGATGGCTTAGGCCCGCTCCACTTGGGGAGCGGGCCTAAGCCATCGGTTGGACATCCTTAGCACTGCCGTGGAGGCAGGAGAGGCTTCTGCCACCGCCGCTGTGCTTGCCAGCTGTGAGGCCAGCTTTTGGGTGAATGGTGCTCCCCCTGTGGGAGCACACTGACCACCAGGTGTCAGCTCCTGCGTTGAGCGTCTGCCCCCTGTTGGTCAGTGCACATCATAGCGACTGGTCGGTCTGCCGTCGGGCTGAAATTGGCTCTCCGACATCTCCCGAGGGGTCCCAGATTGCGAGAGTGCGCAAGCTAGGCCAAGGGACCCCACCGGTGCACGATTGGGGCCGGGGAGAGATGTGAGAGGTTGGCCAGCCCGGGTGGGGCCGCAGGAGGGTTCCAGGGCGTGTCTGGCCTGTCTCGCTCAGTCCTGATTGGCTGGACCTCAGCAGCAAGCTAACTTACCGGTTGGAGCGTCTGCCCTCTGGTGGTCAGTGCATGTCATAGTGACTGGTCAACCAGTTGACTGGCCCCTGGTGGTCAGTGCACATCATAGCGAGCAGTTGAGTGGCCTTAGCATTCATTAGCATATTATGCTTTGATTGGTTGAACGGCCAACTGGACGACTGGACACTTAGCATATTAGGCTTTTATTATATAGGACTAGAGGCCCGATGCATGAAATTTGTGCAAAGGGCTCGACCCTCGCAGCCCCTCACAGCCTCGGCCGGCCCTCACAGCCCCTCGTTGCCTTGGCCGGCCTCGCAGCCGCGGCTTCATCCAAAGGTCATCTGGATGGTTGTCCGGAATGTTGTCCAGCGGTCTTTTGGCTGTTCGGTCTAATTAGCATATTAGCTCTTTATTATATAGGGTTATTTAGCCTTTGTTTGATATTGCTCCAGAGAGCAGAATGTACTTAAGATCCAAGGACACAAAATCTTATTCATTTGAATTTTGACAAATAGAGTAGTTGCTTTGCAAATAGTGAGCATAATACTAATACATAGTGAACATCTATTGTTAAAGGTTTTTGACCTTCCAGTATAACTTTATGAATTCTTCAGAACTCTCAGAATAAGGATTTAAATCTGTATTCCAGCAGTAAGTATTGAATTACCAATATAATCACTACCACCACCTTCTACTGGCAATACAGATGCTCTTCTACTTATAATGTAATTATGTCCCATAAAGCCATCATAAGTTGAAAATATTGTTAAGTCAAAAATGCATTTAATACACCTAACCTAACGAACATCATAGCCTAGCCTAGCCTACCTTAAATGTGCTCAGAACACAATATCCAAATTAGTTGTTTACTGTCGTGATCACGTGCCTGACTGGAAGCTGTGGTTCCCAAATCTTTTTTTTTTTTTTTTGGTTAAAATTCTTTCCATGCCAAGACCATAGCAAATGGACACTAAAGTGTTACTTTTTTTGACCCAGATCCTTATATAATGCTTCTTTCCCCTTTTCTACAAATATAAGTAGCAGCCAAAATACATGGTCACAAGAAAGAACACAGTCTGACTATTCTGTACTTATTGTCAAGATATCAGATTTAGTTTGTGTAAACACTTTGTATTTTGCTCAATTCTGTATGACTCTGATGTGACAATTTGATAATAGAGCCATGTATTCAGTTATTCACTGGAAAAATAATGTACAAAGTATTGTCCTACTTCCTGAGAGTGTAATAGTAAACAAGAAAAAAAAGTCTGGTATTACATGAAGTGTACATTCTAGTTGAGGAGAAATATATTAAATAAATAAAATTTTAGGTGATGTTAAGGACATTATCCAGAAAATAAAAAAGCAGGCTACAGAATGGTAGAAAATACTTGCAAATCACGTATTTGATGCGGATTTAGCATGCAGAATATATAAAGAACTTTTATAACTCAACAAAAAGACAAGCAACCCAATTTTAAAATGAGCAAAGGACTTGAATAGACCTAATGCCAAAGAAGATTTACAAGTGGACAAGAACATATGAAGACACTCAACATGTTTAGTCTTTAGGGAAATGCATATAAAAACCACACAAGGTGCCAATTCACATTCACTTAGATGGCTCTAATAAAAAAAGCTAAACTGAAAAGAAGTGTTGGCAAGTTGATGGAGAAATTGGAAACCTTGTACAATGTTAGTGGAAATATAAAAAGGTCAGCTGCTGTGGATAACAGCTTTGTGGTTCCTCGAAAAGTTAAACATAGAGTTACCATATGACATAGAGTTATCTTATGACATAGAATTACCAGAATTCATCTACTAGATATATACCTCAAAGAATAGAAAATTGGTATCCACACAAGTATGTAGCAACACGTTTGTGGCAATATTATTCACAAAAGAGTGGTCACAGACCAAAAGACCATTAATGGAAGAATGGATTAAAAAATTGTGATATATACCATGTGATGAAATACCATTCAGCCATAAAAAGGAATTAAGAACTGATACATGCTATAATATGGATGAACCTCTGTCAATGTAAGAGCCCAGCCTGCATGCCTTAGTGGTTGAGCGTCGACCCATGAACCAGGGGGTCAAGGTTCGATTCCTGGATTGCAGGCTTGATCCCCAGTGTGGGGTGTGCAGGAGGCAGCAGA